TTATTTCACTGATTTTGACAAGATAAATGTAAAATATAGGGAAAACAAATTCACTGGATTTTATTTTCACTGAATCATTCCTTCAGCAAAAATAGCGAAAATTTATTCCAAGCGAAAATAAAGTATTTTACAGTATTTCGTATTTGTGTATTTAATTTCACAATGGGTTATTTAATTATTTCATATTGGGGTATTTAATTTGCCTTATCTCCATATACTTTCAAGTTTGTACATGTGTTTTATACTGGTAAAATATAGTCTCAAAACAGTACTATAAAGCAAGTCTCGGCCGCCAAAGGTCATCAATACGTCACGTGAGCGCCCCTCCATGCCCAGGTAATTTAAATGACCTACATTAGACTAAACGGGACATAAAATTACTCATTAAATTGTTCACAGACAAAAATATAGTTTCGTCAGCTTAACTAACAGAAGTAATATACATTAATGTTAACTTAATTAACTATTCGTTGATGAATGGTTCGACACCGCGAAGATTTAAACGAGTCGGTAGATACATAGACCACAATCACACAGTATGCATTTCGTGGCGTAACGTAATGTCGGTACTTACACTGCACCATTTCGTAATCCTTTTATCACTCCTAGGACTTCTTTAAATCTTCCTGATCCCAGCAGATGATTTACCCCCGCCAATGCTGTCGCCATTTTACCGTGTGCGTTTGTTTATATCTCCATTTTCTAACACTAGTTGGCGCTACCAGTGTAAGACCTGACTGTGTCGTGTCACGCTAACACTCAATCTCCCATTCTCTACCATCAGTCCCAGGCAAAAATGGCGGTGTGTGGATACTTTCGCTGATCTAACCGCAAGGAACTCTGGGAAGGAAAATGGGTAACACTTGCGAACCACACCGGAGTGAAGTCATCCGCCAGTCGCTGATAGAGGGACTGTGGTCAGTCAGAGTATCCGCCAGTCGCATCCGCCAGTCAAATATCTTATATCAAGTCTCAGAAGTATTGGGGCAGCCAATTTGCAAACTCGCTAACAGTTGGCTTTCGAATGTCGCTGGCGCCGTTCTGTGGTCATGCCTACTCTGGGTGAATCTATATAACAGTAGGGGACAGTCGTCATACTTTAGTTGGATGGCGATTTCGCTTTCAAATATACCAGGGAATGTGTTATATTTTCTTCGTGGTGTTCGTATACAAGGGATTGTCCACACAAAAATGATGAATGAAGTCGAATTTTATTAGCGGTTGGTTTATATAGAGGGACTGTGGTTTAATGTTACCCCAACGAATCGTTTGGATGTGAAAATTTATTTTCTCCCTGATTTATAGTAAACTTTCTCAACTTGTCTCTTTATTTAGTTTCAACATGGATGTACTAAAAAAAAAAATTCTTAGTACATAGCATCCATGGTTTCAATCAGTGTTCAAGATGGCTACCCCCATATAGTAAATATCGGTGAATTAATTGCATTTATCATATCATCACTTGTACGCCAGCTGACTGTGGCCATTCTCAGGCTGACCAGGGAAACTACTTTCCATTACCAAGCCTCGCAAAGCAAATCATTCAGGGGAATCCAGACATGTACCACTCTACATAAAAGCATACTATATTCCGTAATGAAAAATAGACTCGCCCGGAGTGGACGCGACCACGAGTCAAAACCCAATCATTTAGCCAATTCGCTAGCGAGTTTGCAAATTGGCTGCCCCAATACTTCTGAGACTTGCTGTATCTGTTCTACCAAATTAAAATGTTATCTCCATTTATAATCGCTGGTTCATACGGCTGTGGAAACCATTAAGAATCATATTTTGGGTCAAAATCACAATTTTTATATCAAATTTATAAAACACGCTAACATCTCTTTCGAGTTGAGGCGATAATAACTACAGTTTGTAAATCGATACACACCATCTAACTAAACGGCATGATTCATTTTAAATAAAAAAGTTAGTTGTTTTCGAAAGTTAAACTGAGCATTGAAGAATATTTCTTTTACCGTGATAACAGCTCATTGTCGAAACGAAGTTTACCCCTTCACGCGAGCTACAATGAACCCACAGTCAGCTGGCGCACACGTGATATTAAAATAAGATATTTACTATATAGGGACCGCCATCTTGATTACAGCATAAAACTAAATAAGAGACAATTTTTGGTTTCAAATACCTCAGGAAAGTGTTCTAGGTTCTTGGTGTAATTAGGTGTTCGTATGCAAGGGATTTTTCCACACAAAAGCGCCGAATTCGGCTGAATTTTGTTATCGGTTGGCTTAATATAAACCCAATGGATCGTATTTTCGTGAAAGATTGGTATTTTTGTCCAGATTTGTAAGAATCTGAAAAACGC